GGAATCACCTTCACACAGGCGTTCCCATCCTGTAATGGGCAGGGTTGCCCCTTGGGACTGGTGAAAAACCGATGCAAAGTATCCATTTGGTAAGTTGGCTTTTTCCTGGCTATCGGCTGTCAATTGTCCCATCTGGTTTAGCAGAGGTGCAGTGTTGCCTTCGCTTTTCCTCCAGCTCCCCACATATCTAAAAAAGGACTTTGTATTGTCTTTGATACCTGTAGCTATTTGGAGTTCAGTCACAGCCTTGGTTTTTCTGGTTTACTCCCTGCAGGTCTGGACTAGTGCAGAATATTTATCCTTGGAGGTGGATCCAGTCCTCCATCCTTTGTAGGTCTTTCTTTTTAGATGCAGGAGGTTTGGTAGTTCCCTGCAGAGCCAAGGGGGCTGCTGTGCCCATATGCTGCCTTTCCTCTGAGATGGGATAGACTTTGCTTGTGCATCCAGGATCGCTCCCTTGAGAAGCAACCACTCATCCTTTTGTGCACTGGATCTCTCTTGTACAGGATATAGCTGTCTATACCTGTGGTCCAGTCACGGGTGGAGTCCACCAGGTCTCCATTATCCCCATGATGTCATAATTATTTGTGTTAAGCAGGAGGACAAGTTCCTCCTGTTTATTCCCCAAGCTCTTGGCATTTGTGTACAGGCAGGCAAGTGTCCCTTTAGGGGCCCTTGCCTTTCCCACAGCTTGTTTCAGGGCTGGGGTAGGGGTGCCTTGATCTGCTGGCTTTCCAAGGGTTGCTCAACAGGCCAGAAGTGGCAGTAGTCCCCCCATCCCCCAATGGGCTTTGTTTAAATCCCGGTGGAGCAGGTCAGTCAGTCTGGCTGAGAAGAGCCACCTCCCCAGTGGAGAGAGGTGGACGCCATCCCACCCCAGCAGCTCACTGCCTCTCTCACCAAAGAGCGGACTGTGGTCATAGAAGCCAACACCTTCCCAATGACACCAGCACTGCAGTCCTTGGTTTACTACCTCAATCCTCCTCTTCCTCCTCAGCCCATAGCCTGAGACAGGGAGCATCGAACAAAACACCACCTGCACTCCCAACCCCTTTAGGCCCACTCCCAAATCCCTGTAGTGCTTCGTGACCCAGCTGGGATTGCTCCGAGCCATGTCATTCATGCCCACATGGATAAGGAACATAGGGTAGTGGTCAGTGGGCTGGAGGAGCTCAGGGATCTTCTCCTCAATGTCCCAGATATGGGTTCCCAGGAAGCAGCAGACTTCCTGGGCTAAGGGGTCAGGGCAGCAGATTGCCCCCTCAGTCTCCCTCAGGGTGGAGTCTCCCATGACAAACACTTTGTGTTTTGTCATAGGGAGAGCAGGAGTGGTAGCTACAGTTGAGCCTGTGCTGCCAGCTGGAGCTGCAAGAGGTTCATACGTGTTGCAAAGCTCCAGTGGGGCAGGGACCCTGGTGCGGTAGGCCTTGGCCCCTTGGCCACCTTGGTCCAACCTCTTGGCTGGACAGCATGGGAGGTCCCCGAGTCCTCCCTTGTCCTGGAAGGTGACCTTGGTCTACCCTCCGCCTCCAGGGGGTGGAGGGCCTGGTAATAGGAGTCTATCTCCCACTCACCATCCCTGATGGCACACAGTCTCTGGACTGTGGCCTGGAGCTCCTCTAGCTGGTGTGCCAGGGACCCCAAAAGGGAGAAGATCTCACAAGGGGAGGTGGCCATGCTCCCAATCCCCAGAGCCTGAAAAAGTGTCAGGCAGCCCCCGCAGCTGAGAGCCAGAGGCTTCATCTGTGTGGAGCCCAGCACCATGGGCTCTGTCTGGGTAGAGGCTTCTGAGGAGCCAGAGCAGGGGCCCACAGAGCCTGAGGGGACCCTTGCATTGTGGCATGTGCCCATCTGCATTTTACTGGTGGTAGTCTGGCTAACTGTGACTACCTACCCTAGGGGCTCACAGGCAGGGCCATGGGCCCTCCCGCTCAACCTCCTGCGTGAACTCCTGTGCTAACTCACACACCGGGCAGACAAGTGCGCCTGTTTATGCAGCCTGTTTGCAACACTCCAGTCATGTGGCTGCCTGGGGGCTGGGCGAAGTAGGAGCCAAGGGGGACGGGTCTAGCTGCTATGTCTCAACATAGCAGTGTAGCTGAGATTAGGTGTCCAGACCACAGCCAAATAGTAAGGGTGTGTGAAATGGGCTGGATTCGATTCAGATTTGGCTTGACTTGGGGACAGTGATTTGATTAGTTGATTTGGATTACTGTCCCTGATTCAATTCAGCTGAATCTGAATCTGAAGATTCAATGTTGATTCAGAGAATCAGTGATTTATCCATAGACAGAGCTTTAAATGTTTTTTCTACATACCTCGAGGTACCAGGCATGGCTCATGAATGCTGCAATGCTAGGGCTTTTGAAGGAGCATCACCAACTAGTGGAAGTGACATAATAATACGGGTATTAATGGTACATTGAGTTTATATACCAGTAGTTAGTTATTTTAGACTTATAATGGGATACACCAAAATGTCTATCTGTCTTAGGCTCCTAATGGTATCTTTCTCCAAATTAAGCAATCTACTTAGCCTACAGTAAATCCAATATCTACTTCCATCCCCCCCACAACCAAAAATAATTAACTTCAGGAAAAAATGAATTCAAACAGCTGCTTCCCTCCTTCCTACTAACCCCTGCTGTCCCATATATTCCAAGATCATTATCAAAGTGGGACCTTGGGACCTATAAAAATAGGGGGCTTAAGGGTAAGTGTGTTGTGGAAAGTAGATATCTAAGCTGAGGAACCCCTGCATAGAATGTGTGTGTGGCACCTCTGCTGACAAAGGGCTCATAAATTTGAGTGGGCAAAAAAGTGGCAGATGAATTTCAGTGTCAACAAGGCAAGGACCATGAACTTGTTAAAGGATGGGAGCATGTAATGAAGAGAGAAAGCTGATGACGGTATGAACTGAACGCTGGCAAGAACCAATTAAGGAAAAAAGGGAGTGCTATGCAAGGAAGTGGTACTTCAGAGCCCTGATTTCAAACAATCTTTTGTCCTGCAGGCAGATGCATCCAATCAAGCTCTGGGAGTAGTATTGTTACAGGAACATGAAGGAGTGGACCGGCCTATAGTCTATGCCAGTCACAAGCTTAACCCCCATGAACAAAGGTATGCAACAATCAAACGAGAATGTTTAGCTATCAAGTGGGGGGGGGTAGAGTATTTCTGTTGTTATCTTCTCATCTGGGAGTTTACCTTAATCACTAATCATCAGGGATCCTGGTTTTCCGTTTCCCACAGAAAAACAGAGAAAACCACAGATTTCCCATTTTTATCAGAGAAAACACAAATTTTCCCTTTTAGAAGAAAAACCCATGGATTTCCCCCTTTTTGCAAAGAGCTCTGCAGGCTGGTAGAGTCCCAGCCTCTGGAAGCTGTTTGCAAAAGTGTCAGGGAAACCGGGGGGAAGGGCAGGGCCTGACACACACACTTACCAGAGGCTGCTTCAGGTTCACTCTTCTTGCTGGAGGTAAATGGGGCTTGGAGGTTGTGGGGCAGGGCTGAGGGGGAAGCTGAGTAGGGGCTGAGGGAGCAGGGAGGTTTGCAGTCAGCCAGGCACTCCAGCCTGGAAGGGGTTTGCAGCCTCCCTGCCAGAGTGCTCAGCTGGCTGGAAACCCCCGCCACCCCCAGCCAACTGCAAACCTCCCCACTCCCTCAGGCCCCAGTCAGCTTTGGCACTCCCCAGCCGGACACTCCAGCTGGGAGGTGGGGTTTGCAATTGGCCTGGAGCTGCGGGGTTTTCCAGCCAGCCAAGCACTCTGGCTGGGAGCAGACAGGCTGCAAACCCCCTGCCAACCAGAGTGCCTGGCCAGCTGCAAACCCTGGGTCACAAAACCTGTGCTTCCCATCCTGCTACCCTCTCCCAGGCTCTCCAGAGTGCAGCATGTGCGACTGGTGCAGCAGGGCCATGCACGAAAGCTGCCTGCTGCTGCAAGCTCCTGCCCACACTTCCTCTGCATGCATGGGGAAGTGCGCATCTGCCCTGCCCCCACCCCCCACACAGATCTTGGGGGTGCAGGTCCCCCCTGCCCCCCAGGAATGCATGCTGCCACTGGGAGCCAGCCCTGCCTAAGCCTGCAGCAGGCAGCAGCAGGGGGAAGCTGGCTCATGCTCCTGCTGTAGCAGCTGCTGCCTTTCACTGGGGGCGGAGGCCTGCAGACCTGGGTCCTTGGCCCCATAGTCCTGGCAGCTGGGAGCCTCCTCCTGCAAGGCTAGGGGACAGGGGCTGTGGGTGGGGGGCAAGGGGCACAAGCAGGGCTGGGGGGTTGGG